GCTCAAACAGCCAGAAGTATTATCTTCTGGGAACTGTGGCTTGCCAGGAATGAGGCCGGTTTTAACAGGAAATTCACTCCTTCAAGGAACTTCAAGCCAAAATAAGAATTTCTATCCAACGCACCATCAGCTGCGATTGGCAACGTAAAGTGCGCCGAAGCCCAGATACAGCTGGAGGCCTCAAGTGGTTAAGACCCACTTGGGCCTCCGTGCCCACACCTGGCAATGGTGGACTCACAGGGAAAGATGCGATTGTCCCCCTGGTTATGGTCGGCGATCGCAGAGACCTAGTTCCTACCACAAATCCAACTGGTGGTAGTAACCATCTAACTAGTCAGAAGGCATACATTTGTTCTGGTATATTCTCAGCAACTTAAGAAACAACTATCTCAGGGATAGTGGGACGCTGGACCCGGTTTCCGGCAGATTAGTAAATTAATTGCCCACAAGGAGCAGTCATATTCGTCAGCTCCCTTATCTTGCTCCATGACCTTTTATTTTCTTTCTGTTTTCAAAACCCAGAATAAGTTATCTGTTGCATCAACTTGCATGTATGTGAATGTTATTCTTTTGAAATTCAGAATAAGCTAGACGACACAGGCAGAGAGGGACTCTGGACCTGATTTCCAGCATTGCTAGAGGAACAAAGCCCAGTCCACTGGTTTAGGTTAGCAGACAGGCTGGCTTTCAGTTCACATGGCCGATGCCCGTTAGACCCTTCTACATAGCTCACCTTGTTACACAAGCAAAGATGGGCAAAGCTCCCAGCATAAGTTTTGTTTCCGATACTTGGTATTTTGGGACGCTGGGCCGGGTTTCCAGCAGGTGATGCTCCCCACCAATGGAATTGTTACGAACTCCGCCAGGGCTCGATCCCTGGTCTATCTTTTTGCTGTTTCGGCTGCATCCCGTTTTCGGCCTGGCACCCTTTTTCCAAACCCCTTCTTTGGTACCATAGGATTTTGGACAACTGGCGCCATGCTGCAATTCAGGCGCCACTTTCAAATACCGCATTTTTCAGTTCTGCCCTCCGGGCCTTTGCAGAAATGCCCCTGGTACCGTACATGTCACCGGTACTTATACCGGCTCCCCGTACGGTACAGGGACCGGTCTCGTACCAGTTTCCTGCTGTACGCGTACTCAGTGTGACTCACTTCGACATTGTGTTCGGAAATCCAAGACTTCGACTTCGCGACTTTGCCACTTCGTGTCTGCGTCCGTCGAGTCGTGTCGAGTCTGCGTCGAGTTGAGTGAGTGTGTGTGTGTGCTCTCACTCTCTCCCTCTCTCTCCCAGCCTCGTTGCCTCAGCCCCGTCACAGGAATGGAGTCATCCAACAAAAGAAAATAAAAGAAAAAGGTGAGAAAGGAAGGAGGAGGTAGATATCAGGTGTCTACCGTATGCTGAGCTGGCAGTCATGCTGACGTGGATAGCAAACTCGTACTCGATCTTGGAAAATCTTTGGCTCGCTCCCGCCTCTGGCTGCAGCAGCCAGGTGAGCCAGAGAATGGTCACGTACAACATACGTGCTGCGCATGAGGTCACACTCACATGAGGACTTTTCCTACAAAAAAAAGGGAAAAAAGAGAGAAAAACCTTTTTGGTTTTGGGTGCCCAAACCTTTTCCGCGTGGTAACAAGTGCCCACGGGCAACAGGGGCGGTCGGACGCAGAAATCTGGCGGCCGAGATTGGGTCCCGATTGCTGGGCCTCTTCCTACCGGATGGTGAACCCGGCGCAGGGCCAAGTTCGTTTTCCGGTAGGCGTATCTCACCGAACGGGAAAGGTTTGGGCGCCCAAAACCAAAAGGTTTCGACAGTTCTGGGTCCAAAAGATGGTGAACTCCTTTCCGTACTAAGCACTCCAGACGAAGCAAATGAGTGAATGAGTGGATTCTGAAATCTCCCAAAGGTTTCTTCTGAGTGCAGAGAGACCAACTCTTTGGGATACAAAGCTCAACATCTGTTCCAGCCTTGTAGGCCATACCAAATCTTAAACCACCAGTACACGGCCCCAGCCTTGCAGAAAATGAACTGGTATCCAGCGGCCTAGCTCAGTTGGTTAGGCACACAAGTGGCATTCAGGAGGTTGTGGGTTCAGTCGAAGCAAATAAGTGAATGAATGGATTCTGAAGTACCTAGGTAAGTAGGCAAAGTACATAATAAATCATATGTCAACATGCAGCCAAGGCATACTGTAACGAACATCGGCCCATCAGGCCTAGAAACTCCTTTCACATGTAGCCATGCAATGGAACAGACGGAGAACGAGACGACCAGAGGTTGGGGTTGAAGACGTGATAAATCCAGAAGCTAGAGGTAGAAAATGAAGACGAAGAAGAGTAGAGTAACAGGGGAAGCAAAAGACAGACGGTAGGAGGAGTCATGACACATCAGCATTTTCCCGAAAGCAAGAACACACTTCAAAGATAGTCAAAATACATCAGCCTGTGGAGCCTGAGCCGCAAGTGAACGTCGTGTCCATGTGATCAAAACCCAGGATGAGCTCACCGGCACTTGACCTAGGACCGGCCAGTACGATGATGACATCTCAAGGCTGTCACCCATTTTTTTTTTTTATGTTTGGTTGAACTGTGAGGTCCCCCCTCACACAGCCGCCCCATCTCCTTCTCCCCCCGACCAATCGTCCCTCGTGATTGTTTCATTCGTTCGTGTACCATCCTGTGCACGCATGTGGCCCTGGGCTTCACGGTCCTATCACCCTCAACTGATGTGGATCACAATGCATGTCTGCCGGGACCCCGATCAGCCATTTGGAGAAGATGCAAACTTCGTCTGGATCACATGTCATGCATCCCTCCATCTGCTCTTGCAGGACGTGATCGTTATCGAGTGGAAAAAAAAGAAAAAGAAGAAATGTTCTCGGGCATGAAGGGGTTCAATAGAACATGACTATGGACTGAGAGTGTGTTTTTTGTTGCTGTCACCAGATCAGGCACAATGTGTTCAATTTCGTTTACGAAGCCACCCAAGGATGTTGTCGTGGAGAGAAACCGAAAGACACATCGCATGCCATGATCCCTACTCACAGGCGCAGATATCCCCCCAAAGTGCCATTGCGCCCTATTCACTCACCCAGCCACCCAAGCGTGCCATGAGAGAGAGAGAGAGAGAGAGAGAGAGAGAGAGAGAGAGAGAGAGAGAGNNNNAGAGAGAGAGAGAGAGAGAGAGAGAGAGAGAGAGAGAGAGAGAGAGAGAGAGAGAGAGAGAGAGAGAGAAGACATATCCCATGCCATGCAGGTCCAGACAACCCCGCACTGCCATTCGTCCATATCGTCTTTCAAGGGGGGGAAATGCGAGAAAAGAAAAGAAAAGCTGTCGAGCACACAGCAGCCTATAGGAGAACATGGGCCTCGCTCCACTGTTCTCAAAATGCACAATAGACAAAACTCATGGCGATGTATCCTTCCATGTTCTAGCGGTTTTTCACATTTCAAGAGTAGTGGAGTGAGGCCCCATACCTTGCGCTGCCATGACGAATGAGGCTGGCGCGTACTAGTGAGCTGACGGTGGGGTTCATCACCTTCCTTTTGATCAACCCTGCTCTACTCGCAAGCACTCCTGCCCGCAACGGAAGCAGCGGACCAACGGGATGAACGCGCCTGTCTGAAATGGCTCGCGCTTGGGACAACGGACCATGGAGATGAACGCGCCTATCCGAGACGACTTGCGCGTGCGCCCGGTTCGTCTGCACTTTGGGCATGCCCCTCTGCTGCGGCCTTTCCCAACACCTGCAGCGGGGTCTCTTGTGGAACGATCACGTGAGACCCGCTCTTTTACCTACTGCGTTTTTAGGTGTTAACGTGGAGGCTGCATGAGTGCGCGGTGTGGATCCATATGCATTTGCGTCAGAGGGGGTCTAAGACCCCCTGGGGTACAGGTGGTCCCTTCAGTACAGAGAAGAGAAGAAAAACTGAAAACTATACTTGGGATCGACATGCCATGGGCACACACGACAAGGAAGATGCGTGTCCTTGCAGCCATGTACGGGTTACCTGTGAGGTTATCCAACTGCTAGTAGGGTGCCCCACAAACTTGGTTCTTTCTTCTCTCCTTCTCTCTTCTACCATCTCCCCCTCTTCTCTCTCTCTCTTTATCTATCTCTTTCTCTCTCCCGTCTTCTTGGTTGAAAATGCGACGTTTGAGGCTCATTGTGTTGTCACATGACACTGGCCTGCATTGGTGCCTCGCGACAGCCCCACAAGAGTAAGCACTACTGTCTCATCCCAAATACAACGCACCCTCATCACAACTGTATGGGGCCGGAGAGATCGCTCCTATACATTCATGATGAGGGTGCATTGTGTTCGTGGGTAGACTGCAGTTCACTCATTGTCTTGATTCTGCATCACTTGTCATCATGCCTTTTGTTCTTCCTTTTTCAGTCATTGCTTCATGTCTGACATCATGGTGTTGGTGTACCAAATCTTTGTCTTGCCTCTCAGTGCACCCCATCGGATGAAGCGCAAAGTGTAATTTTTGGCCTCTCTAGTTCTACTGCACGATGTGCAGCGCTCACCTTGATTGTTGCTGTTCATATTGTTGGTTTGTGCCCAATTGTTTAATGCGAAGCTAACTTCAATGTTGCTTTCACAATGCTGACATCCATCTCATAATTCTCGGGTGATGTCTTTGTTCTCTGTGACTGCTTAGCGGTTTCCCATGTGGTGTCGCCTGGGAACGGATTCTTTTGCCGGGGGGGTGGGGGGGGAGGATTCTGCCTGCAATCATTGCATGCTTGTGAAACCAATCACTGTCTCATGTCACTGATGCATGACTTCATGCATGGTTGCACCAACCATCTGTGTGTGTGTGTGTGTGGCGCGACCATGGTTTAAAAACATCCGTGTGTGATGTTCAACGCATAACCCTGCGTGTCATTGAACCAATGCTGCTTTGTTTGACACACACACACACACACACACACATATATATATATGTATTAACATTTTGATTCCCTGTGTGGCCTCTTGGGTGTTAAATCGCGGTGTGATGCGCATGGTTATTATGGGGTAATGTATGCGTGTTATGTGAATGCCGGGCATACTTGAATGCCAGAGGAGTGTGCGAGAGATTGGCGGTGTGCTGGGATGCAATGGCGACTTCGATAGCATAAAAAAGCAGCGTGAAACTCTGGGGGAGGAGGCTGTTGCTAGGAAATGCTTTGACGCTGCCGGGATCTCAGCCCTGCTCGTTGATGACGGGCTGCGGGCAGTGGGTGCAAGGAGCCTAGACTGGCATACATCATATGTCCCGCTTGTCAAGCGCGTTCTACGAGTGGAAGCAGTCGCTGAAGACATTTTATCAGAGGTAAAATAAATGTGGGAGGTACTGACTGACTTCCTGAATAAATATGAAGGGAATAAGCTTTCCATATGAGCTGAAGTAATTGAAGCAAGTTGTGGTCTATGCCATGCTGAATAAACTTCAATAAATATATTCAACTGACTGCGTTCTGGTTTATGCCATGGTTGGGTGTGAGATGGTGAGAGGTTTTGTTTACAGCCAGATGTGCAGAAGGAAGGTTGAAGCTGAATGATAAATTTCTCAACATGTAACTCAGATTTAGTTGCAGGTCACCACTAATGAATGTCCCGGATCCCTAATCGGTTGCAGTCGACCTCATCAGGTCCCTAAGCACTGGCGTGTTGTCCCCCCTCCATCTGTACCTCCTTCCCTCCTTCGATGGTATGTAATCGTCGTCGGGGGGGAATACGTTATGTGAGGGATGAGCATTCAAATGGCAAATGAACCACGTGGCTAGATAAGCAGTTTGTGGATGAATGCTGTCGCCACTGTCTAGTCTCTCTGCTTAGCTCCCACCCTCTCTCCTTCTTTCTCCCTCTTGTTACATGCTAAGCCTGCACGTGGGCCCCGTTTCGGGGGCCCGACGGTTGCTGGGGGCCCCCAGGCCGCACACCCTTCAGACGCAAGACCTGGAGGCCCACGGCCGACCTTAGGGCTGCAGGATTCCATTTGAGACAGCATTCATTTGTTTATTTATTTGGTGTCCTATTTTTGTCTGTTCAGGCGTCGTTTCGGACTTGAAGTTTGTCTGAATAGACTTTCGGCCTGTTTGGACAAAGGCCGCGTTTTGGGCCTTCTTCGTTCGCAGGCAGGCCCTCTCGGGCCAGGTTCGTGTTCGTCCAGCAGCGGACACTCCCTGCTGCATCAGCAGGGAGGGCCTGGATGTCCGGTAGGGACCCAGGCAGGCCGTTTCAGGCCGAGGAACAGAGGCACACCAGCGAGGCCCAGCGCTACATATAGCTGGGCCAGACCAGGGCAGACACACATTTCGAGTAGCTCACTTCTTGGGCGACGTGCTGCTGGAGCAGCGCGGCACGGCGCTGCGTTAGAGCTGTAGATAGAGGGAAAGAGAGAGAGCAGCGGTGGCCATACCTCCAGCGCGGGCACTTACCTGGGCGCCGTAGCTGGACGTCATACCGGCAACCTGCATCCAGCGCCAGCTGCACGTGGCGGCTGTTCAGGTGAGACAACGAGGAGGGCGACATCTTCTTCTTCCTCATCCTCCACTTCTGCTTCTTCTCCTTCGTCTTCTTTCACAGAGAGAGAGAGAGAGAGAGAGAGAGAGAGAGAGAGAGAGAGAGAGAGAGAGAGAGAGAGAGAGAGAGAGAGAGAGAGTTTATAGGCAGGGGTTACTATTTTTGTGGCAGACATCGATTGGTCATTTGGCAGGGAGACTGTTTTTGGACCTCGCTATCGGATCTTGGTCTTCTCCCTCGTCTCCATCTTCTTCTCGCCTCTCCCCCATCTCCTCATCCGTGGCATCTCCCCATGTGCGTGCTCAAGGAGGGAGCTTTCTTCCATGTATGCTGTCCCTCCCCTCTCTCTCACATGTGTGGTGTACGATGGGGTGTCGTGTCAGTATCTGAGAGGTCAGGTCATATCTTTCCGTTGTGCTACATTATGCTATTTTCGTATGTATCTGGATTTACATTGCTTGTTCATGCTTTGCTGACACTGCATTGTCCATTTGAGTCCTTTTCTTCACTTTGCGGATCCTTGGCTCCATATACATCGCTCGATTGAGCATGTACTAGTTGGTATCGGAGCCTCGCGAGTGAATCAGGATTCCAGACCTGACTCGCGAGCAGTAGGACCGATCGATCGATTGATTGATTGATTGATTGATCGATTGATTGATTGATTGATTGATCGATTGATTGATTGTTCGATCAATTGATTGATGGATTGATTGATTGATTAGTTAGTTAGGGTTAACCTAATTGAGTCCCGTTCGCGATTTCTGCCTAACTGTAAAATTCCGGATTTTTTTTCTTTTTCTGAATTTCTGAATTCTCTTTTTGATGCAATTCGTTTTTCTTCTTTCTAGAAAAATTCCAAATCGCGCATGAATTAGTAGCTGAAAAATTCGCTTTTCTTTATATTTTTTGGAATTTCGAATTTTCCGTTGCTTTGACATTCCGATTTTTTTTTATTTTTTTTTTCCGGTGAAGCTCTCTTCGCAGTTGTGTTTTGGTGATTTCCGCTTCTCAAAATCGGAAATTGCTGCGTCTACCTAGGAAGATTTTCATGACCGGCCGGTCACCCGGGCGTGATGCCCGGGGGGGTCTGACGCCCGGGATACCCGGGCATGGGAAAAAAAAAAAAAAAAAAAAATTGGCGGTGGGGTTTTTCCACGCTCTCCGAGAGGAGCCCAAATCCGGGCTCTTTTCTTGTTTTGAGAGTTGGCTGTCAAGGGGGTTTAAGGGGAGTACAAATGAATTTTAAAGGGGCTAAAGGGGTTTAAAGGGGGGTGCCTTTGTATGATTTGGTTACTTGTTTTCTTATCTTCAGTTCCGTGAGGAATTCTGATGTGACCCTCAGCCAAACGTTGTTTGTATTGCAATTGTACACAACATATTTGTTTTTCATTTTATTTTGGATTTTTATGTTTATTTTTGTTTTTTTGCACTGGGGCCCATGCCCAGGGAGCATGCCCGGCCAGTCACCCGGTTGCCAAACCGGGCGTGACGTCGGGACCCGGGCGCCTGGGATATCTAACTAGGCGTCTACTCTCATCTTGAATATTCCGATTTTTTTTATTTTTTTTTTGGAATTACCCGAACTTGCAATTTTTTTTTTGCAGGTTGATTGTTTGTTTTAACCTGTAAATTTTAATTCGTTTCTCCGATTATATGGCAGTCTGAAGTTAGAAATATTCTCTTATTATTACAATTATTTCAACTTCGGGACTTTGGGGATTGAAGATACCTACCAAACTTGCAATTTCGATTTTTTTGAATTTTTTTCTCCCAAGCAAAGTTTGAGCTTGTTCATTTTGGTTAGTGGCTCCTTATCTGGGTGATCAATGTGACGCCATGGGTGTGGGGAAGTGCTAGTTTTTCTCCACTTTTCTCCCCTCCCACCCACCCCACCTGCTCTGCTGTGCATTTTCTCGTTTTCTTATCCCATCTGTCTTCTTTTTCTTCTTCTCTACTGCTGCGGCATTGGTAAGTTGCCACGTCTGCACGGTGCCATGTCAGCAGGCACGTCAGCAGTGACACGTCAGCCAGCCACATCAGCAAGCCATGTCAGCAACATGTGAGCAGGCATCCGTGCCACGTCAGCAGCTGATCTGTGCCACATCAGCAACAGCATAGTGCCACATCAGCAGCAGCATAGTGCCATGTCAGCAGCAGCATAGTGCCACGTCAGCCCTTGCCACCCACCACTGCGGCATACACCAGCAATCACCCGCTCAAAGACGGGTGATATGGAGCGGAAGGAAGGGGAGACCGAGGCGGCCTATGAGGCCCGCAGGTTGGATCTGATGGTAGAGATGAAGAAAAGAACAGATGTGACCACGACCGCAAGGAAAAAGAAGGAAGAGGAGGTAGAGGAACAACGCCGTCTTGTGGAAGAACAACGCAAGAAGGGCGAAGCAGCAGCAGCAAAGGCTGACGACGAGGAACGGGTACGATGACACGAAGGAAAATCAGTGCTGCTAGTGGGTCCCCTTGTCTTACTGACCTTGACATTGGGTAGGGGTTCGAGAGGAAGCCGTTGACTTGGACTATCCTTTTTGCGTCATTGTAAAGTATTCTCACCCATTTTCGGAATACGGGTCCTGCTCCCATTCTTTCCATGCTGGCCTGAAGAAAGTCCGAGTTAACTTGGTCGTATGCTTTTTCAAAGTCGAAGAAGAGGATGGCAACAACGATCCGTTTTTGGTTAATTATTCTTGTGGCTTCGCAGAGAGACATTATGTTGTCCAAGATGAGTCTTCCTCAAATGAATCCTGTATAATCTAGGTGGAAGCAACCTCCTGTGATCTTGTTTATTCTGGTGGTGGCTAGAAGTTTGGCTAGGATCTTGCAGGATACATTTAGTAATGAGATGGGTCTGTAGTTTTTTATGTCCCCTCTGTCTCCCTTTTTGCATAGGAGTGTCACCACCCCTGTACTCAGGTCTAGGGCTAGTGTTTCTTCCTCCCACGCTTTGGCGAGGAAACTAAGGAGGAGTGGGCCTAGGGTGTGCCAGCCTGCCATCCAAAATTCCTTAGAGAGATTGTCCCTTCCTGGGGCTTTGTTGGGTTTGAGGTCGCTCAGGGCTTGGTGTAATTTTTCTAATGATATGAGATCATCTATGTGTTTTGGCGGTTTCTGATGAGATGGGTTTATCTAGATGGGCTTAAAATTTATCTCTTGCTTTGTTTGTTAAGTTGTTACCACCTATAGGGGTTTTGGAGGTATAGAGTTCTTTGTAGAAGATGGTTGCTATGATGACTAGTTTTGTTGCTTTTTGTTTGGGTTCCCGTTCTCCTCTGGTAGGCATACTATTTTGGAGTTTCTGGAGTTGGCTTTGATTTGTTGGAAGAAAAATTTGGACATTTTTTCGTTCAGTTCCCAGTCTTTTACCCTGGCTCTTAATTAGAGGCTTGAGCTTTAGTTTAGTCCATGCGCCTAATTCTCCCGTAGATTTGATGATTAATTGCACGCAAAATTATGAGTTTGGATGTTTTTGTAAGTTCAATTATGTTATTTCTATCGCGTTTTTTAGGGTCTCCTCCATAGTTGCGGCGCACCTCGGTGCACAGATTTGCGCACGCACAGCGCACCATGCGCACCACACCACACGCAGCGCACCGAAAAAATAAGGTAAAAAAAAGTAGGGGTTTCGTGATTTCCTACGGCACCCTCTATGGAAAAAATGTTCTCGGAAATTGTCTGCACCCCTTGGCCCAAATTTTTTTTTTAGGCAAGGGTTGCCGAATTTTGAATTGTGCAAGCTGCTCCCCCACAAATTTCAAAATTGCTGATTATGAAAATAAGACTCATTGAGCCTCT